AAATCGAGAATGAATGCTATTTCCTGTTAAATTGTAGTCTCAACAATGATAATCATAGTCTAATGAGTCTCAGTAAATATATATTCAAGTGCTAAACTTTAAGAAGTTAAAAAAACTTACCAGCTGCCTAAATTTTCTGCTTCAATTTTTAAATTACCCTTTTTATGTACGACTTTATTGTATTTTTATCTTTGTGCAAATGAGGATATGACGACAACGGCCGTGACAATGGGTTATCCATGGGCACTCTAATCCTGGGTTATGATCAATTTAGGGTATTCTCGGGGGCGGACATCCGGGCAATTTCTACCGCCTGGCAACCCTCGCGGTGAAAACCAAGACCAAAAACTCGCAGAAAACGGTACTTTGGGGTGTTTGTTGAGACTCCCCTGAACAGTATAACAAGATTAGCCCTACGTGTGTATCATATATAAATCTGGTTGTTCAGGATTACTTCAAAGTTGAGTTTGAATGTGAGTGAAAGCTGATATATATATACATAATTTGTTATGAGTACATTTGTAAACTAAGGAACGGGTTTCTGTCCTTCACTGTATACAACACCCCAGAACCAACAAATACATTGCAATTTATAGCAATAGTTCAAGCGAACAATTTAAATTTGGCAGTCAAGAAAGTAATTGTTTAAGTTTTTGCTCAGACCACTGAGGTTTTTGTATTGATCGATTTAACATTATTTGCATACAATTGAATTTTGCGCACACATTGACATATGCTACTACCGGTAGTAGTAATAGTTTGTTTACAACATTTCGCGTTCACTCGAAATTCGAACGAGCACTGCAGACGACATTTTTTCACAATTCCATGTATTTTCGGTAAATTCATAAAATATAACATTCCAAAAATTGAAAATAATTTGGGGAATTTCAGCTTCAATGAAAACTGACCCCCGTACAGTTCATGACCTGGGTTGGTGATGTCACATGACTGATGTTGTCACATGACACAGCAATGGTAGACACATCAGGCATCATGAACATGTCGAGGCTCCTCGCTGTGTTGTTCCTATTATATTGTAGTTGTTGTGCAACACCAAAAAAGCCTAACATTGTATTTATTCTCACCGATGACCAAGATGTTGTACTCGGTGGCATGGTAGGTGAAAATTTGCGTCTGCCCGTCTTATAATGTCGACCTTCTGTCTGAGTGACTCGATCAGGGTTAAGTATGAATGGAAGTTATTAGTGAACTTTCTGTTGCTATACACTGGTGTTTTTTTTTAAATCTGTATATGATCTACACCTATCTAATCCACAGGTTGTGTACATTAATGCTTTTTTTCCCAGGAAATCTTTGAAGTCGTCATTTAATATGATACTCTTCGTCGATCGTTCCACCGGGATCACGTAGTCAAGGGGAAGGGGGGGGGGGCGTATCTGTAGTGCAAGTTTTAATTAAATTTCTATTGCTTTTTAATTTCACAGACTCCAATGACAAAAGTAAAGAAGTTAATTGGTAGTGCAGGGATAACTTTCACCAACATGGTAAGTATAATACAGAAAATACAGTTAATATCTTGAAACGTTGGCATGGTCGTACAAAATGTAGTTCCTACTATGCTAGCAGCCACTGTTTTATACTTATTTCTCAGTCACCTTCAAGCCTGTATCAAGTGCGAAATGTATTCATCACACTATCAAAAGAAAATAGGTTGAAATTCCTTGCAGCTTTATTTATTTATGTGCCACAGATGGACATACTTTCTGATTTTTGTGCTTTCTAGTAATGACAGTTACATGGACCGAAGACGAGTGCTTTCAAATATTTGCAAATGTGAGCGTTTGCTTCTCATGAGATCTTCATCATGTATAACCACGGTTACTAGAAGTAATATCTAGTAACCGTGATATAACAGTATATGGTTATGAAAGCTAATGGTACATACCCTTATTCCTATAAATCTGTGATATTAGTAAACACTTTGTGTTATGATGATTCATAGTGTGGCTGACTTGTGTACCATAAGTGACAATGTATCCTTGGATAAACACAATAACATGTAGTGACAGCTGTGACTCAAAAATTGATGCATTATTTGTTATGTGCTCAGATTCTGTCCAGGGGTGAATAAATCAGTATAGACCTTGGTTTGTCCTTACTGTAAACCGTTTAATATTTAATGCTTGGAATTTCTGCAATTTGATGTTTTTATGGCAATGCATGAAGATTTCATAATGAAAAATTTCCCTATTCTTTGAGCACTCCGTCACATACATTAGTGAGGCGTTTGTATGATTGCAGATGCTTATGAGCTGGTCAAAATAGATTATTTTAATGTCACAAACAATAGATTTACACACAGGTGGTAGTGAGTACCTGTGTTCCAGTCAATGCTTGACTATGACTTGCATGCACACTAATAAACTAATTAGAGTTGTCAAGCAGTCATGAAGGTGTTGTACGGTAAATAGACTTGAAAAATTATATTTTCAACTTCTTATTGAAAACTACCTGCATACATGTAATTCATTTAATATTTTATTTGTAGGTACATGTACATTTGGCAGAATTTTGTACATTGTACACAACTTGGGCATCCATATGATCCCATTATTATGAATGATTCTAGACAAACGGTTTGGTAATTGAATTAAGGTGGGAGTGTCAACGAGTCAACGCTGACCGCAATGTCTTTATGTTGTTTGAAGAATGTTATGACTAGTGGCGAAGTCAGTGACTCCTGGCTTATTTATATTTAGTTTCAAATCAGGTTATACCAAATTTACTGGATCAAAGTGTTAGAAGGTCATGTTTTCAGTTTCACAATCTTTAAGTTGATCACAACAATTGTGCATCTAATATGGCATTGATAGATATCAGATATCTTGAATTGTTATGCAATAGAAAGTTGACACAGATAATAACTGACTTGATTGTAGTGTAAAACATTAAGATCCATTGATTTACATTACCTGATAGTTCTCTCCCCAATGTTTACCAGAATGTATGATGAACGCTGTTTCTTGGGGCATGCTATTTATTTTAGGGGATGACAGGGACCTTACTAGATTTTTTTGTATCACATTTTCTACCTCTCTTACGTAAAATACATTCTACGTATATGTAGGAATCATAAAAAAAATTTGTTTGCGTGTCTGCTCTCCTCATTTCGTCTGTTTCAGAATCCTGCACCCCTTCATAAAAATTAATTTGTACCAGACACTATCACCACTGTACTGTTATTGCAAGACACGGCTACAGTCCTTAGCATAACAAACAGAATGTTTTATTCCAAAGCTTAAGTGTTGCGCTGATGTTTGTCTAACATACATGTCTGCGCATGTACAGATCTTACAAGATTACGTCATGCTCATAAGTATACAAGGTTAAAGGTCACGACACTACAACGACTGTCAAAATCTTACCACAAAAATTATTAATATTGAATTCAAAAGATCAGCCAAATCTACTGTGCTACATTTGGTGATGGATTTGACATTGAGGAGTGCCAACTTCAATTTTATTCAACTTTATTAGTTTGTACATAGATCGATGGTAGTGAAGTACTTGTTGTCTCTGTGCTGAGTTTAAATAATAGTTGTCTGAGGCTTAATTCATATACTTGAGATCACCCAAAGCTTAGTTTTTGAAGTGCTTGGTTGATGGTATATCACTGTTAACCACTTTGAGTTAGAGAGAAACAAACTTTCACAAATTTTGTAAGTGAAAATTGGACACATTGAAATTTGTCTGGAGTCTTACAATATGGAAAGTCAGTGACTTTTTCAAATTGTTATCTTCTTATGAATGCCAGCAAATTCCTTGAAAATTAAGCGTTTACAATATACAACATGTGTTGCATGTGTTTATACTAGCCAGAAATCTTTGAGTCACAGTTTTACAAAATTGAATGCCGCGAGTGTGGTTCATGTTATCTAGTGCATTTTTAAACTAACATATAAGTAGACGGCATGAAGCCCAGTCACTGAGTCTCAAATGTAGAATACAGTTTCAAAAGTTGAAATTTCATGGTGAATGTTCATATTACAGTAACTACCATTTCATATTCTCTATTTTCGATGTTGTTGTGTAACTAAATAATTACACCAGTGGTGATGAGCTCATTGTTTTATTTATACACAGTGGTTTTCGTGTTCGGCTTGTAACAAGTTGTGAATTGAAGCTCTAAATCTGAACTACGATTTGTTTCCACTTTGTTTCAGTTCACCACCAATCCATTATGCTGTCCAAGCCGATCCAGTATACTTACTGGTAACTATGTACACAACCATGGAGCTCTCAATAACTCCATATCTGGTAACTGCAGCAGTCCACTCTGGCAAAATGGTGCGGAGAAAAGTGCGTTCATCACTTATGTAAAACAAATGGGCTATAACACCTTTTTTGCTGGTAAATATTTGAATCAGGTAAGAAAAGAAATATAAAAAAAATATTCCCAAGAATCTTATCAGTATTTTAATCATATTCTCAATATGCATTTGTAAAGTGAATTTCATGAATGCTTTTTTTTGAAGAAATTTATAAATATTTAACCTTGAAAAACGCTTCATTCAAATCCATAAAATTCATTGGCTATAGAATCCATTTTGCAATGCCTATTTATCTGTGAGTCTTTGCAGGCTTCCTTATTCATTGACTGATTTACCCTGCATCTGTTAATGCATTGTGATTGGTTGTTTTCAACTGCATTAGAAATTTATATCTAAACTTTTTTGTATTAAAATCATACATGATTTTATGAAATTTTATTTTATCATTAGAAAAAATTAATTACAGAAAACAAAATATTCTGTTGATTGTGATGGACATGAAACTTGTAGATTTGGTGGTGTCAAGTTTATCTCCTTTAAACTTTGCTTTTATAAATAGGTATATTTAATGTAGTTTTGTTTTGTTTTCAAATAAGAAGAAAAATTGAAGTATAGATGGTCTCAACAAATCACTAACCACTAATAAAACTAATTTATTCAATGTTCCTATAGGTGGTCATTTTGACCAACTGATCATTGGGTTATCAAGCTTAGATTTTAAAACTATTAGATAAATCTGAATTGATTTTGGAATCGATAAATAATAAGTTCACTCTGCTACAGCTGGTTATCTCTTTTTGAAAGCTTGATAACATTTAAGGTAGCAGGATAGTTTTTTTGCATGAAAAATGTAAACACCTATAATCGGAATAAATTTTACAAGAAACCATACAATCTATATATGTTTAGAAAGCTCTTGACTTGTATTTTCCTACTATTAATATTTTGTGAACATTTTGTTTGTTTTAGCGTCACGTGATTCTGAAAATCAGCGGGGCTGATAATTTAACTAACGTGAATAAAATTTTAATTGTCATCTCTACAGTCATTCATGCGATCAAAAACTTTACACTGTTTTGAAGCAAAGGTCATGAAGTTTAAATCCGTATTTCTATTTTTTGCATTAAGTTTTTTTTTCTTTCTGAAAATCACAAATTTCAAGCACGTTTTTTGGTGTTAAAGGGGAACTAAATAGAGCCTATTTTGGTGTTTGTATTTATCAAGTTATGTATATTGATAATAAATTTTAAAAAAAAATTTAAAAAAATGATTATCTTCAGAGTTATGATGATTTAAATATGAGAAATCATAAACCTGCGAAGGACTTCCGTTTGCGCCATCTTGCCATAAAAAAA